ACAGACCCCCCCCCCCCCCCCCTACTGCCAATGAATATTCGCTGCGTCGCACGCTACACGGGGCCGCCACAAGCACAGGCCGAGCTCTCACTCTGGCCCTCTCGACAGAACTACACAATCCGCGCACGATATGTACACGCGGCATCTCTCCGACGCAACACCCACGCCATGAACCACGGAGTGCATCCCCGCTATGCACTACACACAATGACAACGACAACGCAGCCAGCAATTTAAATATTGATCTCTCTCTCCTAGTACTTACTCAACCGACACCACCATTTTTCTTCCCTCGATTTACGTCTGCCACGTGCTGAGGTGCTCGTCCATCGCCTCTCTGGCGCGATCGGACGGCCGCAAGTCTAGCGAACCGGCCTTAGTGGCCACAACTAGGAAGTGTCTCCCGGTCACCGCTGCCTTCCTCACCACGCTAAAGCCGGTCTCCGCCAGGAGGTGGTGGATGCGAGGGGCCAGGTTGAACCACCGGTCGAGGTAGGGCTCCGTGGCACGCACGATGGAGAAGAGGAAGGGGTTCGACCTGAGCTTCTTGTAGCCGGGGGCGTCGGGGTCCATGTCCATGATGGCGAGGCTTCCTCCGGGCTTTAGCAGGCGGTAGGCCTCCGCGAGCACGTCCCTGTAGATGCGAGGCAAGGGGTCGTCACAGCAGGAAGGTATTGGGGGAATGGCGAGGAGGTGGTATTGATTGGCATGTCAATGGCTGTTGGAAGTCGGAGTAATGGTGACGGTAACGCCAGCAGCGCAATGTATCGCAACCGACAACACACGACTAATCGCAGTTACTACGACCACAACGGCTACGACCACAACGATTACGACAACAACGATTAATACGACATCAACACCACTATCACCATCAACAACACAGCAACAAATACGATGACAACGACAACGACTACAAACAACAACATCAACAACCAACTACAAGAACAACAACAACAACAACAACACCGCAACGTACACACCTCACGGCCTCGTCGGGCATCTCGTGCAGCAGGTAGGTGCACGACACCAGGGAGGTGCCGCCGTCCGGCAGGCGCGTGTCGGCCACGTCGCCGTACACGAGGGACACGCGCCGCCCCGTCTTCTTCTCCCGGTTGTGGTGGTTGCCCACCGCGATCATGTAGGGGGACAGGTCCATCCCGATCACGCGCCTGGCGCCTGGCATCGACTCGGCCAGCAGCCGGGTGCTCGTGCCGACCCCGCAGCCGAAGTCCACGATGACCCCGCCCTTCTCAACCTGGTGTGTGGTGGTTCGGTATTGACGCGAATAAAAGAGCAGCAGCGGCAGCAGCAACGGCAGGAAGGTTGAGGAAAATACGTGCTGCGTATGTTCAGGGGGGGGGGGGGCGAAATTTGTTTTGTGGCGGGTTCCGGGGGCGTCGTCGTTTTGGGCCAGTGTGGAAAAGGCGCTGTTGTTGCGGTTGGCGGTGAAACCGAAACTGTGCTCCGAAGCACGGCTTTGATAAATGTATGGCTCATGGTCAAGGTTAGAAAAGGTTAGAAAAGGAAAAGCGTTCTACTGTCGTACGAAAACAACCTCCTCCCCCCTTAACGCTGACATTGTCGGCAATATTCCAGTGCGAGAGGGGGCGGTACCTTCATCATACTCTGGATGTGGACACCAAACCACGATGAGCCATGTAGAAATAACCGGTTGCAAACAGACGTACATGGCGGTGTTACTGCCGCGTGGGAGGAATGGAACAAGACGACCAATGCACGCTGCTACGCATAAAATCCCCGAGGCTTGACGCATTCGTTCCTCTGATCATATGTACTGTATTCTTCACGGCAAAGACTCAAGACACAAAAAAAAACAGGGGTACTAGAGACTACTGCTGTAGGGAGGTCCGGGGTATGTACGGGCGACGGGAGAAAGCCGCAACAATAACAAGGCTGCATCCGCGAAAACCGAGGGCAAGATATGGCGACACGGCGAACCAAGCCAAGTCACACCTGGCCTCCCAAGCGCGTGAGCTGGGCGATGTAGGCGTCGCGGAGGTACTTCTCCGCGTTGAGGCCCTCTTTGGGGAAGCTCCTTATCCCCACCGCCAGGGAGGCGATCTCCTGCTCGAAGGCCGCCTGCCAGCAGAGGTTCCCATCTCCGTCTGTTTCCATCAAAACCGCCATGCGGAGAGGCCGGAGGCCGGGGAGGAACGTACGCGAGACCGTGGGTGGGAATGAAAAAACGGAATGGGGGTTGTACATGTTGCCGTGCATCACTCGCTCTTCCTGTACCTAGAACGATGGGTTTGTCCGCGTGATGGGGCGGGGGCTACCTTCGGCTCGCGTGTTTCTCAACAACAATTGCGCAACATATCAATGCTACAGCAGTAGAGGCATCTGGTTTAACGAGTATGAGTACTGCATTCGACTCAAGCGCGCTCGCTTTCTACAGAACTGCATTTCTTCAGCCGTTTCAAGCTTTCACTCGTGGACTTCGCTACGTTCAGGCACTACAACTACAACAGCGTTCGTTTGAAGACGGACGGCAGCTGAACGACGCGCTTCGGGTACGAAAAGTCGGGCTGGTTGTCGCGTGCCCCCCTCGATGCATCCCTCTACTGTACTATTTATAGTCGTACGTGTTCGGAGGAGCACACATCAGTGTCGTCAGCAGTCAGCGCGGTTAGGTCCCCTCACATGCGTGAAATTGTTTAAGGTAGTAGTCCGGAACCACCACGTTAGTGTTCTTGGCGAGGATTTCCGTTCGGCGTTTCTCCCAGTTCTCAGCCCCCTGCACACACGGCGAGAAGAAGCAGTACAGTAGCGCGACCCGGGGCGACAAAAAAACGGTCACAAGTACGTGGCCAGCAAGTACGTGGCCAGCAAAAGTACGTGTGCCAAGCTTTTACACGCTGCTTTTGTCGGAGTGCGTGATTTGTTCAAGGAACAGCACTTGAAAAAAGTCTACGCGTTTTTTTTTTTTTTGGCAAAGCAGCTGTTGGACATGGGCAAGCTTGCTTAAAAAGCGCAGCAAGACCGCCTCTTCCCAACTCTTCCCCCGCGCCGCCCGCCGCCCGCCGCCCGCCCCCCGCCCCCATCCCCGCGCGTGCGCGTTTCCCCTACATCCTGACGTGGCGTGGATAGCGAAAGAAACGAAATGAGGCATCGAGAATGATTGCGAGTTGATCGACCCGTTGATGTCGAGTCGGAAGAAGAACGAGATGCTGATCAAGCAGACCGCAAAAAAATGTGGCGTGCAATGCGACTGGTTTCAAGTACATATTAAACACGTACAGCAGCAAGACAAAGTGAGTAGAGCGTTCCGACGAAATCGGGCAAAGCTTTCTACAAGAGGATTCTGTAGGGCATAAACACAAACCGCACGGAAGGTACTGTACCAGCACGCGCACCCTTCTGCCATGACCGTCTCGTCGTATTTGTTTGCAGCATGGTGATACCGGCAGGGGGGGAAGGGGCGCGAAGGGGCGCGTGTCACGCTAACCCCCGTCAGATCCACCCAAGTTTTTCTGCGTGGATATTTTGTACACTCACTTATTCGTCCAACGGGAACGCGAATTTGAATGGGCGGGTAAAGAACGTCGGCCCGGAAAAATAACCACATCTCACGCCAACGCCATCTCAAAGACGTGACAGGGGGGCAGGGGATGAGCTCGTGGTGGTGGTGGGTGTGCTAGGGTGCCCGCTCGGAGGGGGCTGCAACGAGGAGAGCGGGGGGCGGCACAAGCGGCAACTGCAATGTCTTCTCGGTGAAGTTAGATTTGCCTGCATCACGATCCATCACATCCAACCGACACAGACCGAAGCTGCGCTAACGCCCCCCCCACATAGGATTCCACTTCCCCCTCACCTTTAGGGCCTCGACAATGCCCGTCCAGTCAAGGCCTCTCTTCTCCGCCCCCTTGACCATCATGTCCCGCGCCTTGTCCTTGAGAGAGGCGAACGCCGCGCGGCCGACGGTGGTCCCGAAGTCGTCGTTCCACGAGCTGCTGCTCCTCGTCTTCTTTTTCGCCGGCGGCGTCGTCATTGGGTCGGAGATCGTGATCTTCTTCTTTCTCGCCGGTGGAGACGGCAAGCCCGACAGCACCATGCCTGGTGCCTGCTGCCGCTGCTGCTGCTGCTGCCGGATAGGCGAGGAGTTGCTGAGCCTTATTGCCGAGGGAGACGCCCTTCCGCTCAGACCAGGGGGGACCACGAAGGCTCCCGCTGAGCAAGAGAACACCGCCAGCACCGCAAGCTGAAGTTGACCGCCCAAAAACATCCTCGAAACACACGTGGTTGAACCTCTGTTTGTTCTGGTTGCTGGTTGAGACCAATCTCGAAGTTGCACTGCTGTGTGTACTTTGGCGCGGAATTAAAAGCAAGGCCGTAGGGGTGGGCTTAGAGTGTCCCGGGTCAGTGTCGGCGGTGGTTTGGAAGAGCAGAATGGGTTGTGTGGCGCGACGAGGCCCGACGAATGTCTTTGCTGACAGGGTTGAGTTTTAAACGGAATCTCCGTCGTTTGAAAACGCCCGATCATCTCCCACTCGTGCCCCGCGGCTAGGAATCGCAGGTACTAATGGGATATTACGTACCCCCCTCCAGGCGCGCTGTGTGACAGCAATGAATGACACGCTCTCCTGCCTGACCGTGAACAAGCGAGCGCAGAGGTGTCGAAGATCGACCAAGCAACTCCTGGTTTAGTGTGCGTGGCTGCTGTGCAACGGAGAATTGGCGCGAACTGGAGCTGCCTCCCTGTTGCTTTTGGAAATCTAGAGAGGGTTTCTCTGCCGCCGCTGCTGTGCCAATTGCTGGAGGGAGCTAAGCTTTTGTGTGGGGAACAGCTTAGCGTCATCATGTCGGGCTTTGGAGGGGGAGGACGCGGGGGGGGGGGTAGGGTCAAGAAGGTTATGACCCAGCCGATCTCTCTTATCTTCAGGTTTCTGCAAAACGTGAGTCGTCGTCAGCACCTCTCTCGTTGCGCGGTGTAAATTCGTAATTTTGTTAGCGGTGCGCTGCCCCTGCAGTGGTAGATAGCATACATAGCCCTGCTGCTTCCGGTGGATATCGAGCGCGGATCGCCGAAAGCCACGTGCCGTGCCCAGCACAAGTCCATCGGTATATTTTGTAATGGCGTTGACTGTCTTGGTGCTCGGGTGTACATTTCATCCAAGATCTGAAAAATTTCACCAGGGTCTTTCCCTGGCTGATGGCTTTGGTTGTTGGGGGCTACAGCGGTACCTATCGCGTCCGCAGTCCGCAGCGACAAGCCCCTCTTCTCGTTGCCCTTGCTTTCCCTGACCTGCAGGCATGCTCGATCCTCTACGCATGTTGGCAGAAGTTTGTCGAAATACAATGTCTCGAACGTCGAGTCAGCGTAGAAATACCTTTGGCAGAGATTAGAGATTAAAATTGTTATCCTGCTGCTGCTCTTTCGAGTCAAACCCGGCCGTTGTCCAACTCGGATGTTCCGGAGTGTCAGAGCAAACATCGCGTAAACTGGATTGTTGTTTGGCATGCCGTCGCAACAGTAAGCGAAGGCAGGAGATTATGCTGTCGCTCAAGAAGTGCTCTGAGGGTGCAGCATGTGTGCGTATTTACCGTACATAGCATAGCGCACGAGTAATATCGGAAGTCGCACACGGTACAACAGTACCTCCGCCCACCAATATCGTAGCGCCCTCTCATACCGCACACATCAAACTGCTCGCGCCTGTAGACTAAAGGTTGTTCGCACACAGAAGTGTCGGATATCCCTATGGAATCTACATCTTGCCAAATAAATGACAAGCAAGTCAATTTTTACTTTCTGCTGTCTTGAACACTTTGCGTTATCAAGTTAAGCACACACGTGGCACGTATCCCTCTGTCCACTTCGTGCATGTGGAGGACAGTTTTAGAGATGACGCAACTGCTGGCGCACAAACAAAACTGGTGCAAGATATTTTCGGGAGCAGAGGTATCTCTGTGGTCGTTGGGCGACCGCTCTGGATTCGACTCTCCCTGCTGAGATGCGGAGAAGGGGCGTGACATGTCTTGCGACTTCTGTACTGACCCCGCTCACTTCGGTGATATCCCCTCCCTCTGTCTTGCGAAACCTGTCTCCTTGCCAAATCTCAAAAAAAAAAATCGTCAGCCCTCTGCAGTGAGTGAATGCTGTCACGACCTGTGTCTCCTTCCAACGAGGGTGGCCTGTATCCTTATCTGCGCTCGTTACAAACACTTTTTAGGTGTTACAGCACTACGGAGGTTACCCCTCGTCGTCGAAAAAGAGATGTTAGATTTGTGTAGGGTAATCGTTAAAGCGGTATTCCGACCCTTTGGGGGAAATGATGCTGTGTTGATACTATCGGTCCGAGTTATCCTTTGTCATGGCGCGGAACGCGTGTATGCATATACAACAAGCATCTCCCGTTTGGTTCGTGTACACCGAGGTACGCAGCGTTGCTGGCCGTGTGGCACCAAAACACCTCCACCTCTACTACTCTTCAACATGGGGCGGATGTGTGCCACGTTGAAACAACTGCTGTCGCCCGACTGCCTTGCGGATGACCCCCCCTAACCGGTGGTTCTGTGTGCGTGCCCCACCCCCACGCATTTTTTTCAGCGAACGAGGGTGCAAATCTGGCTTTACGAGAACACCAAGATGCGGATAGAGGGACAAATCCTGGGCTTCGACGAGTACATGAATCTGGTATTGGACGAGGCGGAAGAGGTGAGAAGAGACGGGCAGTGAATGGGTCGTTGGACGCGGAACTTACGAGCGTTTCCGTGAGAGGACTTATGGCAATCTGTCTGCTGTGTCTCTACGTGGTGTTCGGTCCGCTGCTGCGGTGTTGGACGCACCGCACGATGCCGGACCTTCTTGAGTGGGTCTGGCCATTGTTATTGTTGGCTTGGATCTTGTTGACGGGTTGGCGGTTTTTGGTTCACAACTACACTATAGCAAATTTAGTAAGGGTGGAGAAATCCGGGCTTTTTCCCCTGCCGCTGCTGCTGGTAGTGGTGGTGGTGGTTCTGCTGCTGCCAGGAGTGTGTGTGTGGTACTACTCATGCCGCTCTTTTTTTTCTGGGGTTGCTCGTTTGATTTCAATGGCTAGAAAAACTTTTGTGTGGTGGTTCGTGTCTACGTGTCGGCAGGTGGACATGAAGAACGACGAGCGCAAGCAGCTGGGGCGCATTATGCTCAAGGGCGACACCATCACCCTCATGCAGAGCGTGTAAGTCTTAGTCTTCTCGCCGTTTCTGAAGCGCTGCGTGTAGACGCTAGACCTGGGTACTGTAGCGTAAGAGCCGGCAGCAGGGCTACGACCAGCAATAATAGCTGCACCACGCAGAAAATTGCCACATCGTTTTCTTGATGTGCTTGGTGTTTGATTCGGACAAACCATGTTCAAGTTCGGTTGGCGCAGCCCCTGTTTTGATTTGTTATTTTTCTGGTGTGGGCGCTTGTAAAACTTTACGCGTTGTGCTTGTCGTGGGACGTTGAACCTCTAATCGACGAAAACAAGTCTCATGTCTCCCTCCTTTTTTTCACATGTTTGTCCGCCGCCCTCGACGTCTCTATGCTCCACCACAGCGAGGTCTAACACTACATGCGAGCGCTGGGTTTTTGGGGGGTGGGGGGGGCACCATAATGGCGGCGTCTGGGGCAAGGGGTGGTCCAGGGCGTTCATCACAGGGCCGGGTGTACACGTAGAGAGACAGGGAAGGGTGCTCGGCAATTGACAAACAGGTGCACAAGACCACGGTTGGAAGGCTCCCTTCCCTTGCTCTCTTCTGCTGGTGACGCCGCCAAGATGGCAACCGACCGTGACATCTATCCGTGTATGGCCTCTTGTGCGCTACCTGGTGTGCTTGCTGAGTGTTGGCTGCAGAGAGGCCCGACTGGCATGGTTGTAGGTTACAGAGCTGAGCGATTTGTTTTTTCTGGCGCATGCCGGGTGGGTAGGGGATCTCAGGGAGAGGAACCCTTTTGTGTGACCACGGATTGGAGCTCCCTCCTTCCCGGCAGAAATGCTGTGAACTGTGACCGCTGATTTGAAGTGTTAAATGGAGGGCCTAATGTAGCTATAGAAATGCAATCGCATCATGAAAATGGTGCATGTCTGGCCGCCGGGCTGCTTTGCTCTTGGTCGTGATCCCGCGTTGCAAGACGACAGGCCGGGTTAGTGTGAGACATTCAGTGGCGTTTTTGGCGATCTAGTCGCGGGTTGTCGAGGGGGCCGAGTACCCACGGCTCATTTCGTGGTTGCCGTGCACCATCCCTGCAGCGTACCACACAGCCAGCCAATAACACGTCACCAGGAAGGTGGGGTAGGCGTCGAGTCGCGGCTCTGGAGTGAAAAAGTGTACTCGACGCGTTTCCTTGAGGCTGACTGATGCAACTGCTGTTGGTTGGTGCACGGCAGCGCACCGTCTTCGGTTGGTCCTTCCGATTCAACGACGCAGAAGCGTACGCACTTTGAACGTGTCATGGCCTTTAACCGCTGTCCAATTGCAACAACGACGTTGAGTAGTGTTGCGCGGAAGAAGCGATGCCGTTAGAGGCTACGGTATCGTCGCTTGGCATGTACACCATACTCGAGGAAACACCCAGGAGGAACACGCTGATAAATGCGTCATGCACTTCGGGTCCGGACAGAACCGAGCGTGATAGCAAGTCTACCTCACGTGTCTGGAAATTAGAGCCGTACGACAGCATGGATCCCATCGTGCATACGCTTGCTCCAACCTTCTTTCGACCCGATCAAGGCTTTTTAGTTTTTTTTCCCCCTTTCGTCTCGCCTCTACAAAAACAGCATGCAAGCCTTTTTCGTCCCAGGTATTCCCCCCGTGGCTGCTGGTACTGCCAGCAACGTGATTTTCGCGCACACAGAAAAGAAGAACCCTTGTGTTCTCAAGTACCAACTCTATTGTCTTATCTAGCGTTGGTCTGCACCATGCTGTGTAGCAAGGTGCCATAGAGCGGACGCTCTTGACACGTTAGCTCTATCAACGTTTTTTGGGCATTTCTTTCCATGAAATCTATCGCTGAGTCTCTAATTCTGTGGCATCGAATACGTAGTTCCCTCCCTTGGAACATGCCCCTGCCCCCCCCCCCCCCCCC